GCCCAAAATTCGCTGATAAAAATGCCCCTCGGGAGGTTTTGTGGCCGCACAATTCCATGTGCAGTCCGCACATTGCTTGGTCTTGTAGGGACTTGGATTCTACAGCCGCACAATTTGGTTTGCGACTGCAAGTCAGCTTCTGCGGCCGCACAATTCTTGTACGGTCTGCACTTCAGGCAAGGCTTCAAGTCTTGGTCATTTGCACAGTCTCTGAACATTTGAATTCTTGTTAGTGCGGACCCTGTTCTGCGGCCGCACAATTCATGTGCGGTCCGCACTTCTGCTTAAAGTCTGCTGGGCTTCTTCACTTATTCTGTGGCCGCAGAGGGAATTCTGCGGTCCGCACTTTCTTCTGCGGCCGCAGAAATACTTCTGCGGACCGCACTTCTTATGTAATGCGCCCCTTCTTGCCTTGTGAGTCGGAACACTCCTTTTTGAATCGGATTTCATCATGAGAGCCCAAATTTCTAATATTCCTGCAATTTGCACACTTTCATTAGTGTTGGGAACATAAATCAATACTTTTGGACTAAAATAAAAGCAAAAAGGTTCTAATAAGTGGTCAAAATTCACACTTATCAATTCTCCCAAACTTAAGCCTTTGCTTGTCCTCAAGCAAATAAATTAGTTACCACATCCTCAAAGTTAAGGGTCATTTCAGCGAGTCAATGGTGAGCCATTCATACTCAGTTGGGACCAACAATTACCCACACTACTCATGCATTATCAACAAGGTGCCAAGTCAAATATTCATGCACATATAGTTCTAATGTGACATTTGAGCTTCAAGAATTGACTTTACTCATCAAGGACTCTTGTTCTATCTTGTAGGTCATGGTGGACTCCAAACTCTTCCTCCTCTACCTTCCATTTGCCAAGCTCACTTAAAAAGTTGGCACTCAATCTTAAGATTCATTAAAGGTTCACTCTTCTCTCACAAGAGAATGTCACAAGTACGGCTTCAAGTACCATAGGCTTGCCCCTCATGTAGATCACCACTAATGTAAGCTTACTCAGTTCAAAATCAAGTAGGACTTCTTTCGGGTTGCAACGAAGGCTTTTGGATTAGGGTAGGATACCATATGGGTAAGTGGTTACACCTTTCCTAAAGTACTCCACATTTTCATTTCTCGGCTCACAATTACCAATTCTTAGAGGCATTTTTTTTTATTTGGGGGCTAGAGAGACTTGACATCAGTCTTTCTGGTTCATTTCATTCTTTTTCTCCCTTTTATGCTCATGTTAGGGATCATTACCTCTTTTTGAATCCATCAACCCTTCCACTTATTCTCTTTTTTTCATTTTTCTTTTTTTTTTGTTCTTATTTTCTTTTTTTGCCTTCTCTTTTCATAGAGATCATTTCTTTTATATTTTTGTGCCTTGATACCCTTTTCATATTCCTCATCTCTCCCCCAAACTTATGCTTTAAACACTTACTTCACAAGAGTGTTAAGGAAAGTTCGGGTGCCAAGAGAGGGTCACGATAAAACGGGTAAAGGCTTATAACATGGTTATCAAATGAGAAAGGCTAGAGGATCCAAGGGGGTTGACTAGGGATAATGACATTGATTGGTAATAGAAAGCTCAAATAGGCCAACGAAAGCCTACAATCACTTCTCAAACCAAGCAAAACTTAGGATTTTGCCTTGAAGCACATTCGGGGCAAGTTCTAAACTATTCGCATGGATACTTGAACTAGCAATAATACATCTCACTCCTCACGCAACTAGATCGTAAAAGAGGATAGAGTCGAGAGCCTACAACAACCACATTCAAGTTTAAAGATCACTATGGTCCAATAAACCTATCGATGTTCGCCAAAGTCAACTCAAGAGTCTCAAAGTCACTAACTAGAGCTATTTCTTTCACAAACCTTGTCTCTAACTATAAGCACGTAGTTAAGTGTGTTGGTACCAAATGAAGCATGATTAACTCTTTTTCGAGAATGACTTGATTAAGCCTTTTTATTCATTACTACTACTACTATTATTATTACCTAAACACAGAAACAGACTCATTCCCTTAAGAAGGTTGTCACGCCATCCATTGTTGGGATGAGTCACCCGGTTCAAACAAAAATTACCTTTGGAAAGAACCGTGACATTAAGAAAACCAAAGGCTTATTATCTACGAAAGCATAAAAAAAAGCTACTTAACAAAATAAGAACTAAAATGGAAAAATAAAGAAGCTAATGAACAATAACTACTAAAGATAGATAAATACAAATAAGAAAAGATCGAGAATCATCAAATTATTACAGTCCAAATGTATCCAAAATGTGTCAATGTATCAAATAAACTCCACCCCCTAATAAAAGTAAGCATTGTCCCCAATTCTTAGAAAAATAAGAGTGAAAGAAAAGAGGGTGAAGAAAACCCCCTAAGGATCCTTGGACATCTCAGTGTCGCCAGCAATATCATCTCCCTCAGGATCAACCAATTGTATCTCATCATCATCAAATCTAGGCGTGGTGGGGTTGGCGAACATCGCACGCACTGCCTCAGCAGTGTCGACAGCAAGGTCTAGCTCCTCAGACTGGCCAGCAGGTGCTACCGGTGCAGATGGTACTAATGGATCTGAGGCGGACTGGTGTGGGTCATGTAGCATATCAAAAGGTAGGTCTCCAGCTGTGGAAAGTCTAGTCACCTCCTTTCTGAGCTTGTCCACTGATTTCTTGCTTGCATGGGACTTCCTCATCTTCTTCACTTCCTTTCCCAGCTCTTCAATAACCGACCCGTGTTGTACCAAGGTGTCTATGATCGTCTTTTGGTTGTCCAGAATCTTCTTGAGCGTCTTATCACTATCAGAGGGGGCCTGTGGTGCCTGAGTAATGAACTGCGCTGCAACAGTACTAGATAAGTCAGACAGCTTAGAAGTAGCTCTCTGCATCCAGTTGTTGAAACTCGCCAATGTCTGGGAGACTCGCAGAGCAAATAGTTGAGCTATGGGCATGGGCACTGGCCTCAGAGCTGCCCTAAGGGCTATGGTGGGAGATGAGGATGATGGCGGAGGCATAGCAGCGGCACTGGAAGAAGGCTCAGCAGAGGTGGATGGAAGGTCCGATGTCTCAGTAACTAACATTGCTGGCTCGTCAGACTGGCTTGTGGTGGTAGAAGGCTGGATTGTTTTCTTTGGGTTGGTCACATCCATTAGTGAATACCAGTCAAACGGCTTCTTCGGCTTCACCTTGGTGTCAAAAGATATCGGCTCTACCTTTGCATCGGTGAGGTACTCTGTGATAGTGTTGGGATAAGGGTAGGCTGAGCTATCCTACCGTGCTATCAAGGAAATGTTGGAAGACATTACGGCACCCACATTAATTAGGTACCCGGCCATGATGGAAGCCACAAGAACAGCCCGAGGAATAGGAAGATGAGTCTCATTCTGGCTCGGATCCAGTCTACTACAAACAAAAGTCTGCCGCCCCTTCGCCTCGAAGCTCAATGTGTTCTGCTGAATGGGAACCCCAACGGTAATCTATGGTGGTGGTGGCCCTGGTGGTGCTAAGATCTCAACCAGCCAAGGTCGGACTTCCTCCTTCATTGCACATTTCTCCAGATACTCCTTTGTCTCAACATCCTCGAAGCCCAAGTACGCGTTTAGCGTATGCTGATCAAACCTCACCTTGAGGTTGCGCACTTTGGTCACCTTCGTCCCCTTCTTTATGTGAGCAACATTAGCATAGAACTCTCGGACGAGGTATTCCTTGGCATCCTTAACTCTCTCAGTGAACCACATCCAACCCTTTCGTGCTCTGAACTGCCTTAAAATCGCTGGGTTGTATTTCTTCAAATATTTCAATAGGAACTGTCTCTCAAGAGTCAAAGACCTCACTGGCCACCACATATAAAAATCGGTGAATACGGCCAAGCTGACAAACCTATCCTCCCAGACCTCCTTGTTATTTGATCTCTCTACACTTGTGGCTGTACCATTTCCCCCTATACCATCATCGGGGATCTCATGTATAGTCTGTGCCTCTGTGACTGGTGTAGCCGATGGCTCAGAAGCTTGGCTAGTACTCTCCGACCCCTTGGAGGTGCTGTGAGATGAAGAAGGCTCATCCTTGAGCTGGTATCTCCCATGTGGCCTCGACTGTGTGGCTGTTTGCTCCTCCTGAACAAAGGCTGAGTTGCTCTATGACACTTCCCTAGACGGGACATAGGAGCTAGACGCGGAGAGGTCTGCACCTCTCCCTCTGCCAGCTATGATTTTCTTCCTGATAGTCTTAGGCTATCCAAGGGGCAAGGTACCTCTACCTCGACCCCGAAAAGATTCACCTCTTCCCTTTGAAGTGTCGCCTCGGCCTCTCGATCGAACCATTGTCAGTACCAAAGCAAAGAGGATTGTTAATTGCAATTCGTTGTTCAATACATTCAGGACTTAACATGAGATTGAAGCATACCGGGTAGAGTGAGTGCAATGGGTGAGTGAAAACGGTCGTTGGAAGAATAGTACCCAACAAAAATCGGGGTCAATTTTCACAGGGAATTTAATATGGGTGTTAGGATACACTACTGAAAAATTGGTCTATAGTAACGCATGGAAAACCTTTCCAATAGGTAGATAAACCGTTGCCATAGAGATATTAGAACGATTTACAGACCGCTCCATCCGCTCGCGTGCCAAAAGAGCTATAGGCACGGTTCTTGCAATGGTTTGCATTTCCGTTGCTATAGAGACGTCTATCGTAACGGTTTTTCCTTTCTCTGTTGGAATGATTGTTCTTTCCAATTGGAACAGTTTAAAACCGTTACTATATTGAGTATACAACGGTTCCTAACCGTTACCATATTATCTAATGCAACACTTATGAAAGTTATTGTTACGGTTATGTATGGATATTGGAACGGTTTATAGGACATTTTGAAACAGTTTACCGGACCTATTGCAACGGTTTACATTCTCTAATGGAACGTCATTTGTGTCCTATTGTAACGGTTCTGGTAGGCTATTGTAACAGTNTATATATATAAAATAAATTATTATAACACTAAAATTTAAGTAAATCACAAAATGAAACTATTAATAATATAAGTTATCCAACAAGCTAATAATATCCATAAAGCAAATGTTCTACCCCAAGTGCATAAGTTTAATACATTTCAAGATAGTAAGTTTCAGAATGTTGTTAACAAAAGATTCCTAGAACATTCATCTATAGCAATTCAAAATTCATCTTAAGTAAGGTCTAGATCTTCACTGCATTCACCTTTCATTTCTTGATCTAATCCACCTACAAAAGAGGATAAATTAAGTCATTACCCTTCAAGAGAATCCGGTCGAAGAATGCTCATAGCACACCCAAAGATATTGAATGCTTGGGCAAAATATATGGAACAAAAAAGAAAAGAAAAGATTAGACATACAAGATGCTAGTCATGAGCCTAGCTCTTCTACAGATAAACACGTTATGTAGACCCAAAATTAGGCATCAAATGTGCGTGCAAGCTGCTAAAAAAGAACATAGCATATGTTACTGACCTTTCCCAGCAGTAGTTTAGAGAGGAATAAGAAAAATCCATTGAAATAGAGAATGTTACAAGCATACCAGATCAAGATAAGAATGCAAAAAGTTAGCAACAACAAGATGATTTGATAGGAATCTATGGGATCAAGAATAACAATGAAGTTTATTCTCTATCTTAGGATGTTTAGGGAACAATATACGAATATAGTCTTATATGTTTTTATAATCTTTCCCTAAATATCCTAGGACGGAGAATAAACCCCATCGCCAACCTACATTAAGAAAATTATTCACTCCACGAATATACTCATCCGCCCATCTTAGGAGATTCATCCAACTTTTATCACCATAATCCATGGATATCCTATATAACATAGTCAAATCACCAAAATTAATATTCAAGCTAAGAAAAGTTACATCTCGATACTATATTATTATTACCAAGAAAAAATATAGCATATTGCTTTTAGAAAGAATAACAAGAAAGGTCTTTACAGTAATACATAAACAAGCACTATAATAAAAAAAATAATCTAATGAACCAAAGAACAAAAAATGCATTGCATTAGTCAGTATAACGACACCGTCTTTTGGCAACTAGACAATATACCTTATATCAAGGCACACAAACAACTATGGCAGAGACTCAAGACGACTGGACATAATCAAAACATATATATAATTGGACTCGTAATTGGAAGAAAATATATCTCTGCACAATGCAAAAAATTATAAGCGATGACAAAAGGAATGCTCCATCTCGTTATACTTCTATTCAAGCGATGACAAAAGGAAGTATAAAATAGTACAATTTCAGGCCACCTCTTGCTTGTAGAGTTGAATTCAAATGAAAATTGAGTGCAGAATTAGCGTATCTAGTTCATGCAAAAGACAAACTAGATTACACCCAGTAAGAGAGGGACTCTTTCCAACCTTGATCGCAGTAAAGTGGAACAGCACAACACCTATAAGTTCATCATAAATCCAGGTACTCATATTTCAAAAAATTGAAGAAAATCCCTTGTAAAATGGAAATGGAAAGACAACACTAATATTATAGCACCATGTCAATCTCATAGACAATCATAAATGTCCTCATTATTCCTAACGAATGAATGAAATAAAAAATCAAGATAACCACATGCAGATCAAAAGTTAAGTCTTCCTTGGCAATCACAATCTACTCTGATAAAAGAAAGAAAGAAACTCACACCATAGTAGAAACTTCTAGTTCTTATACAACACATATATTCAGTTGAATAAGATGCAACGTAATTATAACTTTATTCACTTATCACAAATAATTGACTTCAGTCAATCTTAACCGTGAGTCTGTGATGGGAGATTCCAGAAAGGCAACTATAGTCTCGAAACAGCTCAAGGACTCAAGTCAACTCAACATTCAATCATCTTTTTCTAGTTAACAACAATATACATACCCAGTGTATTCCCACAAGTGGGTCTGGGGAGGTAGAGTGTATGCAGACCTTACCTCTGCCTTTAAAAGACAGAGAGGCTGCTTCCGGAAGACCCTCGGCATTTTTTTCTAGTTGCTAAATTGAATTAACAAAGTTGTTAAAGAGTGAACTAATATGATTGTTAAAGAACACCTTTGCAAATTAACGAATTCCGTAAAAGCTGCAGCAAATGGAAAACAAAGAGATCAAAGAGGGTCATCTTCAGAAATGTGACCACAACGACATATATTTGTTTCTCAATCTATAATGCTGAAAAGATGAAGCTTTAAATTCAGGAAGAGGTGAACCCCAGAAACACGCTGAAAATAATAACACGGGCAAAACTGAAAGAACCCCTTGAAAAGTTGCACATTCAGCAAGAATTTCACCCGAACACCTCCCAATTTAATATCAATCAAAGCCCAAAAGGCTAATTAAGACAAGACCCAAAAACAATAAAAATTAAGTACCAAAAATCCTACAAAGATCAAAACTTTAACTAAAATCTTCATCAGGGTATCTCAAGAAAAAAAACTAAAATACCAGAATTTCTTCCAAAGCTAGCTCCTTTACCAGGAATTTTCATCAGGGTACCTCAAGAAACAAGCTAAATACCAAAAATTCATCTCAAGGTAGCTCTTTTACCAGGAATTATCATCAGGGTACCTCAAGAAACAAAGCTAAATACCAAAAATTCATCTCAAGGTAGCTCCTTTACCATGAATTACCATCAGGGTACCTCAAGAAACAAGCTAAATACCAAAAAATCTTGCCAAGGTAGCTCTTTTACCAGGAATTATCATCAGGATACCTCAAGAAACAAGCTAAATACCAAAAATTCTTGTAAAGATAGCACCTTTACTAGGAATTATCATCAGGGTATTTCAAGAAAAGGCATTAATCAAACAAATTAATAGAAGAAAATAGAAGGAAAAAAAGTCAAAAAGATTATGAGGATTCACCAGTGGAGGTTGAACTCGAAAACCTCTATGTGCATTTGGAGACCTTTCAATTGTTTGGTCCATTTCTGTAATGAAAATTTCATGCACAAAAGATTCAAAATTTCGCCCCTTAGAAGAATCAGATCAAGAGAGCTAAAATCCCAAAGAAGAGCTTCGGGCCCAAAATCATGAATGAGGCCCAAAATCAACACCCACAAGAGTTAAAGAAACTTTTGCAATAAGAGTATGTTTACCGATTTTTAGATTTGGAGAAACCCTAAAGGATTAGCACGCGGCCGTCGGTGCGGCCGATGATAGATGACCAGTCGATCCTCTCCTACTAATTTCCGGAAGAACAAAGGTGTTGGAGCCTGGAGGAGAATATTTAAGGACACAGATCTTAATTTTGTGAGTGTGGATGGTACTAAAATTAGGGGTTTTAGATATTTAGTATTTTATTAGATATAAAAACTAAAAAATAAAAATTAAAAATCAAATTGTGGGCCCCTTTAATTTGAGTGGGTATAGAAAATTTGTGTGAAAAATAAGGAGGGAATTATTGACCGTCGCGATAGCAAAATGAATTTCTCCAACTGTTACCATAGATATGTTTATTGCCACGGTTATACAAATTGTTGACATATATACCTCTATCGGAACGGTTTTTAGACTATTGCAACGATTCAGTTGCTAAAGTGTCCCGGTAGTTCCAATAATTATTTGTAACGGTTAAACTCGTTGCAATACATCATCTATAGCAACAGTTACTGATCCGTTGCAATAAAAAGCGTTGTCATAGCCCAATTTTCTAGTAGTGATATACACTTGACGAGAGCAAATAAAATAACTAAATTGCGCTTCCGAATAAAGGATTTTATTTTTTACTTTTAAATTATCACTAACAATTATAAACTAATGAGAAAGCGAATGATTGTTTTTTTTTTGTTTTTACCAAATGGTTAAAAAGCCTAGGGATGTGACCTTCACCTAGGTGTTCACCTAATGAGTTAAGTATGTTAACACTTGTTTTATTGATCGGGGTGTATTATAGCTCTCAACTGTACGTTATTCACTCAATACTTGTCGATCATAGAGTGATTTTGCCCAATTTGGCTTTCTCAAGCCCAAATGGGTATCAAGCTAAATAGTTGATAAGAGCTCAAGTCGGGTTTTCCCTATCTCTAGTTTCAACCCTTTATTTAGGCTAATCAAATCCTTAATTAGCCCAATTTCTTGTTAGCCAAGCTTTCCAAGACTAGGTCCATCTTTCTCAAGTAAAGACTAAGTAAAAAATGTATGAATCAATGTTTGCAACCATTAATTCTAAAATTAAAGCATAAATAAGGCTAAATGATCAACACCTAATGATGAACAAGCATTAAATCAAATACCTATAAGGTTTACACACTAGGGTTGGGTCACAACCCTAGTAATAATCTAGCTACTCATAGTAGAAAATGAAGAAAATAAAGAAGAAATACTAATTAAACTCATAATATAAGATTAAAATGATAAACTATGATGTTTAAATTCCAAAATGATCACAAATATCCTAAAATGGAAAATTACAACGGCTACAGCTGCTTGAACTTCAAAATTTGACTTAAAAATGTGATTCCCATCTATTTATAGTGGCCCAAAATTCACTAACAAAAATGCCACTCGGGAGATTCTGCTGCCGCACAATTCCATGTGTAGTCCGTACATTGCTTGGTTTTGTAGGGACTTGGATTCTGCAGCCGCACAATTTGGTGTGCGGCTGCAAGGGCTTTTGCGGCCGCATAACTCTTGTGCGGTCCGCACTTCAGGCAAGGCTTCAAGTCTTGGTAATTTGTACACTCTCTGAACATTTGAATTCTTGTCGGTGCGAATCCTGTTTTGCGGCCGCACAATTCATGTGCGGTCCGTACTTCTGCTTAAAGTCTGTTGGGCTTCTTCACCAATTCTGTAGTCCGCACTTTCTTCTGTGGCCGCAGAAATACCTCTGCGCACCGCATTTCTTGTGTATTGCGCCCCTTCTTGCCTTGTGAGTCGGAACACTTCTTTTTGAGTCAGATTTCTTCATGAGAGCCCAAATTTCCAACATTCCTGCAATTTGCACACTTTCATTAGTATTGGGAACATAAATCAATACTTGATAAAAACAAAAGCAAAAAGGTGCTAATAAGTGGTAAAAATCTACACTTATCTATACTAGGGGCACAACAAAGATTTAGAGCTATATTCGTTTAGACTAGGCTACTGGCAGATGTCAAGAAAAGGGTTAAAAGCCGTGAAATTTGCCAAAGAAATAAGGGAGAACATGTCCCTTACCCTGGACTTTTGTAGCCATTATCAATTCCATCCAAAGCTTAAGAGCACTTGACGATGGACTTAATTGAAGGCCTACCAAGATCACATGAAAAAGACACCATTTTAGTTAGTATCGACATGTATAGAAAATATGCCCATTTGTTCACCTTAACTCACCCTTATAATACTTCTCAGGTGGCACAAATTTTGTTGCACCATGTTTGTAAGCTTCATGTTTTTCTACATTCCATCATGTCCAATAGAGACATAATTTTCAAGAGTTTATTTTGAAATTTACTTTTTAAAGGCCTGTAAGTCGAGCAAAGGCTTAGTTCAGCTTACCATGACAATCAGAAAGATCGAATCAGTGTATTGAGGCTTATCTGCGTTGTATGACACGATACAAACCCAAGGATTGGAGCAAATAGATTCCGATGGTCGAATTCTGGTAACACTAATTTTCACTCATCCATATGGATGACTCCATTTAAGGGTATGTATGGCTAACCTTCTCTGCCATCCTTCGAGTTTATTTTACAATTCAAACTCGAATTTGTGGACCAGTTAATGAAAGAAAGGTAGATTGTCAACAAATTTCCGAAGGATAATTTGATCAAGACTCAGAATGGAATGAAGTAATATGCAGATTCCAAAAGAACTGAAAGGGAATTTGCAATAGGGGACATGGTATTTCTGAAATTGCAGCCTTATCGGCAGGTATCCATGGCTATGCAGAGGAGTTTGAAGTTATCTGCTGGATTCTTTGAGCCGTATGAAGTGATCAGGAAATAGGGCCAGTGGCGTATTAACTCAAATTGCCAGCTACTTCAAAAATTCATCAGAAGAGGGTAGGAGATCACATTATTCCATCCCAAAAACCCCGTATTGCTCCGATGATATCTGGATTTTAGCAGCACCAGTGGTGATTTTGAAAAGAAAATTGGTCAAGAGAGGAAACAGGGCGGTAATACATGTCTTGGTTGAATGGGCGAACCTGCCAAAAGAAGAAGCTATTTGGGAAGATTATGCTCTTCTCAAATTGGAGTTTCTAAAATGTGATCCTAAAGGTTGAAGAGGAAGGGTTTTGTATGACGTGGGATGGAATGCCACGATTATAATCATGACTTCAAATTCAGTGAGTGGACCTGGTTATTTTTGAATTATTGGGCCTCATGGGTTTAGGGTGTCTTATTTAAATTATAGCATTTTCATATTCAGTCCAGTTGAGTATTGTTATTTCCATTCCCTAACGGCTCTAGGCCAGCTTGGTAGGATAGATGTTGTCCAATAGTACAAGTTACATGGGGCATAGTTGTAGGAGCTATTCTTCTTCAGCTTTGTACGTAAGAGCTATTTATTGAATCAAGAATTTTCGTGTTTTCTTCTCTTTACTTAATTTTCTTATTTTCAAGCTCTAACGCTACATAGAAGTTACGTTCTCTTTGCAATTCTTTTTATACCGACTGATTATGTTTGGAGCTGCCTGCGATAATGCCCTTAGAGTGGGTTTGCTCAAAATACAGGTACCATAAGAAGCTTGATTATGAAATCAAGGCGCTTGAGAGATATCATGGAATGCCCAAAAAACCTATTAATCCAAATATGTTACTAGTTACTACCTTCATATAATTTGTGTTTAAAAGTATTTTCACACTTCTTTATAAAGACATTAACAATCGCAAGAGTATCAGTAATAAAACACCATTTATCTCCCTCTTTAATGTCTCGCTGACTTAACACTCCACCAATTCGGACACTAAGGGCGAATTTGAATAGAATTAAGAGTAATGAATTTTTTCTTATTTTCATAAAATGTCAAATAGTAATTTTCAGACAAACTCAATTTGACAAAATGACAAATTATCCGAAACCAGAGGGCTTTTTCTTTCGATGTTTGTTGAACTGGTAAGAGTAGATGTCCTCTTCATTCTTTCTTTCTTTGAGTGGTTATAAGCACGCAAACATGTACACAAGCACTATGTGAGAGAGGGAGAGAGTGGGTATTTGGTAACGATGATAAATGTGAAGCTTATTGTTATTATATAGATGAAAAGAAGCTTTGTTTTGTTGGAAAGAGTATTTGTAAGAGGCGGATTCAAAATTTAAACCTTGCGGGTTTGAGTTCAAAATTTTATCACAATTAATTTATTTTATTGAGTTTGTGAATTTTTTTACAAACACAGATGCACCGAAACTATTAGGCACGAATAAACTCATAACATATAAGTCTACTTCCGCCCCTTATTAGTGGTTGTAAGATAAATACAAAGTTAGTCTTTTTTCACGTCTTTGTCATAAAACGCACTTCCATGCAGATACATTTGTGCATTTACTGCTTGCCCGCCTTTCACTTCTCTAGTCCTGTTTCTTCGCTATCTTGTGCTCTCACTCTCTCCCAAGCGGGTGTACCGTATAAGTTACGAATTTTGTGAACCTAATAATTTTGATTCAAATTTTTTCTCTATATATATTAATAATTTTTTTAATTATATACAAATATTAAATTTCGAACTTAGTACAAATTAAATAATTGGTGTAATCAATGACATTCCAAATTCATAAATTTTAAATTCTGAATTCGCTTCCGCTTTCACAACTATATAAAGAGTTATTGATGCTCCGCAGAGAAAAAAGGACACGGAAATGCCGTGTCTATACATTGAAAGCTCTTCATTTTTCTTTGTCTCTCTGTGTTGCTCAAGAAGACAAGTTGCATATTCTTGCCCCCCCGGGCCACCTCTTCAATTCTCCGTCGTAGTCTGCAATTCCTCATCTCTTATTTATTAATTTACTCCTCTCTTCAATAGGATATACACTTTGTGTGACATATTTTACACATCCACTTTGGATTTTTTCACCTAGCACTTAACCCTGAGACCTATGGCCTTACGAAGCTTTTCTTCTTTCTTTGATCTATTGTAACTTTAATTTCCATTACCATTTTCCTCAATATTGTATTTTCTATCTTAATCGCCACCAAACATTGCCCCCTCCCATTGTAAATTTTTATCAAACAAACATTAAGTGATCATCATAATTTTCTCTTTTGTTTTGGTTATAATTAATGAAATTTTCCTTATTAGGTGCAAATTAATCTGACTTGTTCCAACTGATTTTTCAAAAAATTACTAATAACGACTAATGCTAGCTTATTCCGAGTATTGAGCTAAATGATTCCAATTGAGCTAATATATATGCTACATATTTTTATTGCCTCGTCGGTGATTTTTTGTGATGAATCCAGTATTTTGTATAAGAATTTCAAAAGAAAATGGCTCTGTAAGCAAAGCTGCAAGTTATCTTCAGATGAACAACTAACCAGATCAATAACTTCATTGGGTTGTTGAACTTCCTGAATAAAAATGAAACCTGATTATTAATATATAGGAGTAGCAAAGTAATTTGTCCTTCAATGGGACATTGAATTCAATTCTTTGAAATTGATCCTTCAGAAAGATTATCATATTTAATTTCAGTTGGATCTTGTTATTTTTTGTTGTGTTAATAATCAGAACTCAACAAAAAAATTCTTAACCAAATGGCCTGATTTACAGCAGAAGCAGCAGCAATATAATATCCGCTTAAATTTGATGGTGTTATTAATTCTTTCTTGCTAATCTCAAGTCTCAAGCCTTCAAAATGAAATCAGTCGGTGTTTTCCTGCTAGCCGTGAGCAGGGGCGGCTAAATATTATTTGTGGCCTANTTTTTGAATAGTCGGACATATTTAAATTCTAGTAAGTGATAAAAATAATATATAACTATAAAGTGAAAATAAAATTAATAAATATGAGATAAAATAACACTTGTAAGTTAGTTTAATAGAATCTGATTCAAGAAAACGGATCACTTAATTCTAAAATATCTTTTTGTTGCTTCAATAATTCCTTGCATTGCTTGAAACATGAGGGAAAATAAAAAAGAGTGCGCAATATATTTTATCAATAGCTCCTAAGCCATGTAGTTTTTTTAGAGAATATAGAAAATATAGAAGTGTATAGATGCTATATGATTGATTGGCTCTTGGTCTAGGACAAACCAAGAAAGAAAGTAAATAGTGTAAAAATTTATATAACTTACATGTTTTCTGATGAGAAAAAAAGGTAATATGTAGAATATAATAATTTCAGTTGTTAAATTTTTTGTTCACACAATTTTTTGAAGAGTGGTACTAAAACAGTCACTTTAATTAGTAACATATCTGAAAGTATCTTTATTTTTATATTAAAAAATATATTTTTCTAACCTGAAAATATTCATTTTTCTCAAAAAAGATAACTTGCTAGCCTGTTATAGATTAAAATTGGGGCCCCCAAATTTGGGGGCGTAAAGCATATGCTTTAGAGGCTTTACCGTTAAGCCGGCTCTGGCCGTGAGGAAGAGATGCAACGTTAATATAATTACTTTGAGGACTAAGAATATCTCATTTTATTAAGTCCAAATTATTAGCTCTACGTGGAAGTTAAGAAATTAATGAAAATTTTATATCTTTAAGATGTCATAGGTCGAACTTTCTTTAGCATCAGCAACTAATTAATAACGGTAAGTGCAGGTGGAAATGAATTTGGCGTTAGAGAATTTTACCTAGACTTTAATTTTTATACCGAACGTTCTAGAAAGGTATGTCATCAATTATATACTGTCATGTCAGATTGTCAGTGTTCGGATCGAACCTAGTACCTATGCCTCTTTTGATACCATTTTGAGCAAACTTTTATCTACTTATAAATTATTATTCCTACAGCCCTCACCTTTTCCTAAAAACCAAAAAGCCAGAGAAATCTTGGCACTTTCTAACATTAAGCACCAAGACAAGAAAAAAGAGTTTAATTGCCCTTTCAATTCATGGCGATAGTTATCGTCTCTTTCACTCTAAACTTTTTCTTTTTCTCATTCTGCAAAAGTCTTGCATGTCTCTATTTATTTCATCGTTGAAATGGACGTACAGTGAGAGTTTATCTAAGTTGTTAGAGGACTCCGAATTCGAAGATGGAACTAGTACTTTTGCCGAGGATATATATATATATACTAGTGTATTTGCCCGCGCTTTGCGCGGTTATCAAAAAATAAAAAAAATTATAAAAGAGTAATGTTATAATTTTTCTATAAGCAAATAATGTTTACTAATCAACCATTTTTACATGATTTTATCATATTTTCTCTATTTTCATGATATGATTCTCTTAAAACACTATATAACATTTTTTACAGTAAAATATTTTCATGATTTTGTTTAGATATTATATATATAAAAAAATTAACGGGACAAATTGTGAATACCCTTGGTTTTGAAACAATTCATTTAAAATCATTTAGATAAATACATGTTACTTGAATTAGGAAAACACAATTTTTTAAAGAAAGAACTAATGAAAAAAGAGAAAAAATGATAAGACAAAAATCTGGGAATATGAATCTATGATATCGTTTGCATTCTTTTCTTTCTCTAAGGCTTCTTTTCCTTAATTATTTTATTTTTTACGAAGTAGTAATTGTTCATATATATGTTTCATAAAGTAGACAGTTTTTCAATTCTCTCAAATAAAAATTAATCAAAGAAGTAAAAAGAGAAGGATAGAAAAAAGAAATAATTAAAAAAAAAGAAAGTGAAGAAAAAAAAAAGAATCAACTAAGTGTATTTCTCTTACTTGAGTACTTATTCATCCGTCCCTTCTTCCTTTTTAAAACTTTAATACATGGAGTTTCTTTTCCTTTCTTTCTTCTTTTTCTTCACCATCAGTCATAATCAAAGCAATAAAAACCTCTTCAATGACAAAGGCAAACACTTCAAGTAGCCCTTGACAAAAAGATAACCCAAATATTGTAGGCAGAATAAAGTTGTTGCAAGAATAAGTCACTCTATTGGCTTGGTAAAGTTCCTTTCTATTCCACCTCTCACAATATCATATTTACTAATTATCGGGTTTGCGTCGTCTATTGATGTTTGATGATAATGTCGCATATTTTCAATATTTGCCATAAAGTAGGATATCAAAAAGTTAAGTAACCAAAAATCATCAAATTAAAGACATATTCATTTGTCAAAAAACATGAAATTAATAAAATGATAAATTTGTAGATGTATTATTACCTCTGACGTTATTACAGTGC